AGTTGTCAGCTACAAAACTTTTTTTTTTTTTTAAAACCCAGCCATTGCTCTGATTGTACTAAACCAAGCAAGGAAATGTAACCAGTTGTTTTTCTTTTTTGTGTGTGTCTGTTCTTTCTCCCAACAAACCATATGCTCAACTTCCTTACCGCTGCCATCAGGCCAGTGACGTACTTTTTCTCCCTTGCTTTACCTTAGGCCCTGACTTGGCAACTCACATGGTAGACGCTTTCCATATGGCATAGGCTTTATCAACCACGGTACATTTTCAGCTATTGCAGTGCTCCCATCCGCTGTGCTGGTATTATAAAGCAGAGTGGGTGTGCATGAGCACTGGTATTGAAGCAGACACAGTAACTAACCCTTCTGCCAGCCCGTCATTCTTGCTGCTTTCTTATCCATCACCAGTGCTGCAGTAAGTGCATAAGTGGTCAATGTTTGAGAGGAATATTCTATTGAGCAGAGACAAGGCTAATGCAACTCTGGTGGCAACCACCAAGCTTGGGTGTACTTGCTGCAGGCGTTTTGTCCTCTCTAGTGTTTTTACTGCTCTAGCCAGCCTACAGTGGTGTTATGCAAAGGACTAGGTGATGGTATACTGGCATTCAACTCCAGCATAGTAAAAGAACTTGAGTATCAAAGTGCTTTTTGTGCTGTGATTAAAAAAAAAAACAAAACCCACCTCCCCTGGAGATGGTCTATGCAGAGGCTGGCTAATGCTTGTCCTTAGGCTGTAAGAGCCAGCACCAGTAAGGAGATAGGAAAGCAAAGCTAGACCAGTTCCAACCTGCTGCTCTGGCTCTCCATTAGCATACCTGTACACACCGAGACTTGACCAAAGGGAAGCAGGCACAAGCTCTGGAAACTTTAGGGTACATATGCTCTCTGAGGATCAAATCCTGGAGTCAGGCACCAAAGAACATGTGAGGATCTGACTCATGGTGAGTGGATACAGCACATTGCAGCTACAGCTCACCCCAACTTCCATGGCCTCCCTGGTTTTCACTCCATTTTATTCTGTGTGTAAGAAGGCTGAATATATATAATTTGTAGACACCTCTGCAAGTGAAGCAGAAAGGAGAGGCAATAACCATGCTAACGTGAAATGGCAATTTCTGCATTTGCAGGTTCACAGAGACGGAGGCTTATTCCAGCTTTATCACTTGATGCTGCTTCCCCAGCAAGGAAGCCTGCCAACAGCCCCGGAGTCCGCTGGGTGGATGGGCCCCTGCGAAGTGGGCAGAGGGGGCTGGGGGAGCCCTTTGAGATCAAAGTCTATGAGATAGATGATGTGGAGAGGCTCCAGCGGCGACGAGGTGGGGACAGCAAGGTAAGGACAATCCATGTAATCTGTCTCCCTCCTGCTGGAGGCTGTAAGAGGGGGAATTCAGATTACGCAGTCAGAAATGTGTAGTATTGTATACGGTTAATTCAACAGGCAGCAAAACCTATTATCTCATTTAACAGCAGTTATGACTCTAGTTACGCCTTCTTCCATAGCAGCTAACAGACGTTGGTACCGTGCATTTTTGCCCCTTGCTTATGGTCTTGGTGGTTCCTGTGCTCTAGTATCTCATCACATCTGTCTTTCAAGGCAGCAGTGGTGCCTCAAGTGCTTTGATGGTATTGTTTTCAGAATAGCTAATGTCTTTTCTCTAACAAAGTTGTTCCTGCCAACCTCAGGCCTCCAAATTTACAAAAAGCTCAGGGAATTGTAAAGGTCAGCTCTTGAGAGGTATCACTGGGAAGAGGATCTGAAGTTGGTGGAATACCACCAATTTTAGATGAACTGTGGATATAGACTTTATTGTTATTTTAAGGCACTTTTTCTTCCTAGCCCCTGTCACTTGGTTAGGCTGTTTGTGGTGGTGTTCTCTGATATAATTTTGTATGGAGAAAAACATCACTTCTTGGGGTGGGGTTTCCACTGCACTTCACCCACACAGCAGATTTGTCTACAGAGCAGAAGGCAGAATAGGGTTGGGACTTTCACACAGGCTTGGAGGAGGATAGTTCTTGTATTGAGAATGCTCCCATGCTAGCGAGGGTAGCACAGCCCTCACTGTGGGCTCACTTACTGCACGTCTTGATGGCTGCCACCCCTCAGAAGTCATGCGAGGCCAGGCTGGGTGTCTCCAGACAGTACTGCACCCTGCGCTGTTACTGTGCCTCATATCTTAACAGGAAATATATCTTCTTTATTAATGATTGTGAATTGCTAGAGCTTTTCATAACATATTCCCTTTGTTTAAGGATGTTTTAAATTTGATATTGCTACCAGTTCTTTTATTTTATAATATGACTACTGCATTTCTTATGCGCCAAGCACGGAGATGTATTTAGGATTTTAATACAGCAAGCAATGGATTTCCTTCTCCCAAGAGCTTAGATTTTCTTAGCCAAACTTCTGGTGACAAAACCCAGAAATGTTTTGCTACAGTTAATCTGATTTCAGGATGCTGCCTGTTATTAATTATTATGGTTTATTATTAACTATCATTGCAAAGTCTCCAAAGCTCACTGATGGAAAACATCAAAAGCAAACAAAAGCAATAAAAATAAAACAGATGATAGATGAGTTCATGCAGTGATTCATACACCTCCAGAGTAAATGGCTCATTGTCAGTATTATTGATTGGAAGATCATTTGACTGAATGGATCTAGGTATTCCTTCTCCTCTTCACCTATTCCTTCCCTGCTCCCTTTTTCCTGGTTGGCAGGAAGTGATATGTTTCAATGCCAAGCTGAAAATCCTGGAGCATCGCCAGCAGAGAATTGCTGAAGTCAAGGCCAAGTACGAGTGGTTAATGAGAGAACTGGAGGTGACCAAACAGTACCTGATGCTGGATCCTAATAAATGGCTCAGTGAATGTAAGGATGTTGTTTTATTGCGTGGACTCATAGCTGTCCTTTGGTTTATTTCATGGCAGGGGGATGGAGGGGAGTGGAAACATTTGCTAAGAATGAGAAATGAGCTACTGTGTTTGAAAACTAAAATGAACCAACATATGACCTAAGGGCAGGTTTTAGATTGACTGTATTTCTAGAACTAGTCCCTATAATTCTTACTAAATGTTGACAGTAGAACTGAACAATCTTTTTTGCCTGAGAGCTGAATGTTGAAATGGTACAGCATTGTAGTGGTGAATATTGCCATTGGTAGATTAACGTTCACGCGTTTCAGTCCACAGCTCCTGAAAATGAGATTTTTTTTCTTTTGGCCTCAGATCACTCAGACATATGAGCAATATTATAAATCTGCTCTTCTACCACAAAATAACACTGTGGAGCAAACTTGTCCCTTGGCACCAGTGGGCTTACATGAAAAATGAATTTGGCCCATTTTTTATAACTATAGATGTGTAAAGTTCAGAAAGCTTAAAGAGTATTCACATTCAAATGAAGAAGAACCTCAACACCTCAAAGGAAAAAAGATAGAGAGTACTGCAGTAATTGTACAACAATTTTTAGTATTAGCAAGCAGACAATTCATGTCAAGGAGTTCTAGGAAAAAAAAAGTTTCAGTTTATTTAGGATAATTGCAGGTGGCAAAAGGAGGTCAGCTGGTGTGTTCTCTTAAAGCATCCTAACTCTTCTTTTAACAGCTGCCATAAGTTAGCACTGGATTGGTACATCCTGCAAAGCAACCACGGTGTATGTTTCACGAACGCTATTAAGGAAGAGAGGTAAAAAGGACAGATTTAAAGGGAGCAGAGAATTTGCGATACATTGCCATCCGCTTACTGTGTGATGCATTTGCTTCCGATTCCAGTGTGATAAATGCAGAAAGCCTCAAGGACGGCACAGAACTCAGGGACCAGATGAGGTGGGAAGTGCTGGCTCAGACAACGTATCTCACACTTGGCTTCCACAGAAGCCTCTGCCAGCTGGTTTCTGGCAGCATACGGGCACCTACAGTGGAGTGATTGATGTGTACACCATCCCTTGCCATTCTTGAGTGATCTAGTGAGAATCACATGGAACAGGGAGAGGTGTGAGGAGCAAGGAGGTTGGAGGTTGGTTTCTAACTCCAAGTTCTGAATTCAGCAAAGGATTTGTCCTCCCAGGGCAGAGCACCTATTTAAATCTCTTTCTGGTCAGCAGAATGTGTGATAGAGTTAGTACATCTCATATATATGCCCTGAATAGGGATGACTTTAAGTATGTGCTAGGAATTAAAATTTGCTTAAGCATGGTGCTGAAGCAGACCCTGAATGCAAACAATCAAAATCATTGTAAACAGATTTAACTTGGCCTGTTTTACACCTTATTGCTGAATTTCCCCATCATGTTCAACCTGTGTGTTCCTTATGGGCGTGAAGGTTAACCTGAAGCCTGCAGGTGTTTTTTGCCAGCCAGTTTCTTTGCAGTGAGCCACGTGATTGCTGGAAGAATAGTTCTGGTGGCTTTTCTTGGGGAAAGATGTGGCAAAAGGCATCTGCAGTTCTGGAGAGGATGGCAGAGCATATCACTCAGGAAAGCACTCAATGCAATGTTAACAGTATTCTTCACTATCAGCAAGCTGCTGTGCCATTTTAATAGCCATTAAACAGAAAAGGCAACTTTTGATGACAATGGCAAGCCAGAGATAATGTTGTATACAGTACTGATGGCTTTAAAGACTTGAATTAGCGCTGTCTCTCCCACCAACCAGCACTGGGTTTTGTTTGCTCTTCCTATCTGTGTGTTTTCTTTCCCACAGTTGATCTGGAGCAGGTATTTGAGCTGGATTCTCTGGAATACCTGGAGGCCCTGGAATGTGTGACTGAGCGTTTGGAAAACCGTGTCAACTTCTGCAAGGCCCATCTCATGATGATCACCTGTTTTGACATCACCTCTAGGCGCCGATAAAGAACGAACCTCAAGAGAATTTCAATGCACATCTCTGCCATCCTCCCTTCTGAATAGCATCCCAAAGACAACAGAATGAGGATGAAGGTTGGAGTCAAGTCTCAACTGTGTGTATGAGAGATTTGCTTTACTATACAGAAGAGTAGTATTAAAAAAAAGGACAAGCATGAAAAATGGAGATATAAGGTTGTTGATTCTCTTAGCCTAAAAGAGCACTTTGAGGAACCTTTAAGGACATGTCTGTAAATAAGAACTGCTGGCAGAAGACACTTCTTTCCCTGCGTTAGCTGAGGGAGGAGGAAAGGTGGTTGTAGGACTTCCATTGAGAGGTTCATTAAAAGAAAACCTATCCAGAAAAACTGCTTAAGTGCCTTGCAAATCTTTATTATCCAAACATTTATGTTCATACTTTATTGTGTACAGATGGTGCTAGTCAAGAAAAGAAATAGTTAAAAAACAAACACACTTTTGAAATGTATTTACAGCTTGTTTTTCTCTTGGTGTTTTCTCCTATTTCAGACTTGCTGTTTCTAAGTAACTTGTGTTTGTAGAGATATTTCCTAATCAGTACAACATATAAATAAATGTTAACTGTCTTTTCTTGTTACCAGAGTAAGGCCACTCAAAGAGAAATTCAACTTTTCCAGATGACACAAAAAATATTTCTAGCAGTGAGTGAGGTTTGCTTATATGTTCTTCTGTACTATCTTATATGCTGGAGGACACAGTATTTTTCCCACCCTGTAGGTTCTGCAATGTATGAGAGAGGAGAGGTGACATTACCATGAAGTAAATATCTTTTCCATTTGATCCAACCCACATAACTTGTTTGCTTTTTCATGTATTTTTAGCTTTGTACTGGTTAGAGTTATGGATGAGAAGGCACTTTTATCCTAACCCCTTTTTCTGGTGCTAAGAATTTGCTCTCAGCCTCTTTAGGCTGAGGGCTCCCATGCTTATCAGTCCAAAAATGAGTGATTTATTCTGTCTTTCTTGAGACTATGACTGGTAAAATTTAGCTTCGCCTCTTTTTGACATATACCACCGCAAAACATGTTTTGGCAGCTTTTGGTCCCTGGCCCAGTTTGTGCATAGTGACAGATGCACCTGAGGAGTGCAGACTCTGTTCAGCTCAGCAGCTAGTCTGGAAATAGACAGGAGTTATGAGTGAGTGGATATGGCACTCCAGGCATGTTGGCTATGGCATTTTCCTTATCAACACTCCAACATTGAAGCCATGGCAAGATTCACATTGACATCAAAAGGATGAGGGTCTGCGCCTCTAATGCACATCCAAATGTTCTACTTGTTTGCATCTTTATCTACAAAACAGTATGTGGGAAGGAACATCCTTTGTGTTTCTTAAAGAAATGTGTGAAATCTGCATTTTAATTACGTATGAACATAAAGAATTATTTTGTTGAATTAGGTTTCTTCTTCTTTTATATTGAAATAAGCCTATTCACAAAAGTTCCTCTCACATACAATTGTGCTACCCTCCTATTGCTTATGAGAAAATGAGCATCATTTAACATATACTCAATTTGCATCAATTTACTGTTGTACTTAAATGCAACTCTTCCTTTACCTGCACCATCATATTAATGCCATCTTACAATGTCCCAAGCAGCAAGTCCCAATGGAAAAATAACCCTACAAAAACACTGATAGATTTTCTAGTGGTTACCTGAAAAAAAAAGCTTAAAAAAACCCAAAAAAGATAGAAATAACATTTATATAGTTTTGTTTTCTTTTAATACTCTACAACTTGTAATTACAAACCTTATTCATTCTATTAGCTTTGTCACTGGATTTTGTAGATCCTTCTTACATTCTATAGGATTATTTGGAGGGAAAAAAGGTCCTATATGAAAGTCGCTTCCTAGTCTATTCCACAGCATTTTCCTACCCTGAAACTCATATTCCAAGTTAGTGTTAAAGGCATAGGTCTGATCTCTCCCCACTTCTCTCTCAAGACAAAAAAACCTCTGAAAAAAACCCCAGACAATGCAATTTCCCTCGCTTTGTTTCCCTTTGTAATGATTTCAGTAGCGCTTGTTACTTATTGGTTCTGTTGAGATCATCTCTTCTCCACAGAGCCCCATGAATTCAGTTCAGCTCCACAGAGCCATGGGAATTGCCCCTGCAGTTTTGTGCTGGATGAAGACCTAGTGCCCTTGGGATATGGAGTGCATCTTTCTTGATGGGCTTAGTCCCGCGGAGCCCCAGATGCATGCTGTCAGGTCACATACACACAGGAGAGAGACTTTCACAGCTGGCTCCCATCTCTCACTCTCCTGCCTCCCCAGGTAGACCTGTACTGCTGTCATCTGTGATGCTGCGCTGTGCCTGTCTCCCAGGCCATGCCCCCATATTCAAGGAAGACCCTCCCTAGTCATGCACATGAAATTAAGCATTGCCTTCTTTAAGCTTAAGCATTTCTGAAAATTTCTGTGTTTGCTGGAAGGTGGTCATTGGGCTAATTGGGATGCATTGTCTTTCCTCTGCTGAGAACAAGCAGCCCAAAATGGGCATGCTGGGCTCCCTGAGGACCTGTGGTGAGATGGAAAATGGCAAGCGGTACAGTAAGAGTAAACATACACTTCATAGAAAGAAAGTGAAATCCTAGCAAATGGTGCATGCACAGAATGCATTATTATCAAGAGATGCCCTCTCACATAGTCTGGGACATATACAGAAGCAGTGATGTTTCTATAAATCGAGTGGATGCATTTCAGAGCCATTGTAAAATCTCTATTACATGTAATATTCCTCAGCACCATTAACTCAATTATTCATTGTCTCTAGATTTGGTACTTCTGTAGATTAGGAAGCACAGCAAAAAGCGTGTCTACTTAGCCATTATTTTAAAAAGCAGTATGTTTGCCCTGTTTATCACAGTGGACCAAAATTGATTCTTGAAAACAAATGGATTATGCAAAGGATGAACTTGGCATACTGAAAATACTAACTGAGCAGAATCACAGTCCTTACAAATATTTTATTTCTGAGGACTTAATTAGAGTGGCTGTTAACACTCCCATCATACGCTAGTATTCATATCCTAAAATCCATACTTATCTTCTCTTTTTTGACTTTCTGTCAGTGCATTTCAGAATTTGCCACGGTATTTTTGGGAATTGCGGTTGCTTAATGCATAAAAGGGAATGAAAATTTGTGGAGATTTGATATCTGTGAAATGTTTTCTCATTGAAAATAGCTTTTTACTTCAGAATTTATATTATTATACTTCAAGTATCTGCAAAATATAATTAAAACCATCAGGACCTTATTATGAAATTGACCTTAGTCTACAATAGCCAGCGCTTTACAGAAGACCCATACATTTCTGTAAGTCATCCAGGAAGTCTCATTCTTTAAGCAATTGCCAGTGTAATGCTGTTTTTACCTTGAATTTTTAAAAGGCAACAAGTTGCCCAAATACAGAAAAGCAACGTGAATGGACTGCTTAATTGTTTGCATATTCAGAAATCAATCTTATTTCCTTGGGACAGCTTTAGTAGGAAACAGCAATGTTAAAGTAATTAGGTTTGAAGGTTAATTCTTTGTTCGCGTGTGTATCAGGACATCACAGTTCTTCATTGTTGAATACCAGCCACTGGTCCGCATCCTCACCGCTGTGCTCAGGCGTGGACAGCTGGGGCACTTTGGGCCTCATTCTGAGAGCTGCTCGCCTTGGCATATGTGAACCTGCTTTATACGAGGGACAGAACTTGTTCGATAGCCACAAATTCAAGTGAAACCTTACACTGGAGAGTTTGGCTGCGATCTGGATTCAGGCATCCCACTGGTCTGCGTCAGCTCTCGCAGCAGGCAGAAAGCCACGGGTCGCACCCCTGCCAACTCCGGGCGCTGGGTCACTTCATATCCTAGAGAGTATAGGAGAGCCCTAATGCCTTGTGCGTTTGTTTTAACGACGCGCGTCTTTCCTCCTACCATGCATGCCTTGTATTCGCCTCAAAATGATTTCTTGTCAATTCATTCCTATCTATACAATCTGAAGTATTATTATTTCACAGAAAGGCGAGGAAGCAAACCGATACCCAGGCTCCCCTTTCTTAGCTCTTTACTGGGCCTGTTCTCATCTCACCTGCGCTGGTATAGCTGAGTCAGGAGAGCTACAGCAGAGTAAAGCCGGTTGCGTAGAAAAGGAAAATTCATCCACCTGCCACTTCTTTGGGTATTTACTGTGCTACTAGTTCCATAGTCAAAGAATAGGCTCCTCTTATCTATTTGATACCCCCTCCTTCTGCCTAAGGGCCATGCACAGGGCTATCACCGAACAGGGCTGGCTTCGATCCAGCCTTGGAAGACTCCCACTGCCATACAACTTAACTTGTGAAACTTGCAGCTACAGAAAATAGTAACTGGTAAAGAGCAATGGCATGATCCTCTGACATGAAGCAAGCTAAGTGAGAGCTGCAGATAATGTACAGAAAAGGATGAAAGGTACACACTGATATTTTTTTCTTTCATCTCTGAACATGGCAATTATAGAGGCAGAAAGCTGGGAGCGATGCTGGGAGTAATGCACATCAAGTCCCAAGCTTGCTCACAGGATAGACTCAGTCCATCTTGAAGTGTTTTTTTTTTTTCTTTTTTTTAATTTATCTTGATAATATGGTTTGTCTTAAAATAGCGACTATTACCTGTGACATGGAATTCAAATTTTATGACAGCTGAAGGATGTAGACTCTTTTACAAACACCGCCTTTTACAAATGTTTGTGAATTCGTTGCATCTTTTTTCCTGAGTTAAAAATAATCGTAAAGATAAAGTGTATATACATACAGACAAATGTATATGTACACAGCCTGAGAGACAGTCCCCTCACACATTATTGCAGGGAGGTGGCATAGCGGTTCACAAATGGCAACAACATCACTCCCCCTTCCTCCTCCAAGGAGTACCTATAAAACCTTTCTCCTTGCACTCACCAGGATGAAGCTGACTTATGCCACACTATAGGGAAAACTTACGCTTGAAACACTTTCAAAGGCTTCTTTTAAAGTTCCTTTCTTCCCATGTTCTTCAGCCTACAAAGCCAAGTTGCTACAGTTCCCACGTAGAGGCTGTCATTGAAACGTTAAAGCCTGTAAAAGTAATCCAAATGAACCACTCTATATTTCAGGGTGTCATGAATTTAAGGCAAGATATTTTACAATCATCACGGCTGTTAAATACAAAAATTTCTGCATATGCATGAGGCATACAGCATAGTTACATCAACTGAAAGCCTAGGCTCTTAGCTGTCTATGAGATAAAGCTTTCTGTCTAGTCCTAATAGCTTTAAAATTGTAACTTGAAGCTTCTGCATTGCAGAAGCAAATACAATTCTCATAAACCAGAGGCTGAGCGACCCTCTGTTGCCAGTTCATATGGGAGGGATGGTTGCACAGCACCAGGGATGC